ATATTCATATCAAAATATTTCAAAAACTACAATGAAGGTAACTTCACAACTGTAAATATAACCTTAATATTTAGCAAAATAAAGAGATACGAACTTAAGAATAGATATTCCTATCCGTGCAAAGAAGATAAATACATCAACGACAATAAGAAAGACAACATTACTAATAATTGTAAGTTGCAATAATTTATTAATTTATTTGAAATATATAATCTTTCATTTAGAAAATTTCTCTATTTCAGTGTTTTCTGTATTTCAAACAAATAGGAGCATAAGAGGTAAGCCAGCTTTGAGAACTAAGTTTGAGAACTAAGCTTGACGTCTAAAGTGATGAGCTGCAATTCATCGAAGAGTATGAGTCGTTAAATAAGTCTGCATGAAAAAGTCTATACATCAAATTTTGCAGAAAAAAAACGTTCTTTAATCATAGAAACTATAAATCACATTTCAGATAATGAAGCTGATAAAGAGAATATAAATGGTGGAAATGGTATTTATTTTAAATGTGATATTAGATAAGTTTTCTGAAAATATTATAGTTGACTAAATGATGTTTATTTATGGCAAGTTTAATAAATAATAAAAAATGTAATTACAATATTTTGTTTTCTTTCTGATTCACTCTATTTTTTAAGTATTACATCTTCTCAGTTTACATCTTAACAATAATGTGTTATATATACTAGCAATCTTCATAAAAAATTTGAATATTTATCTACAACGGAATATATAATCATTAAAAATTAAAATAAAAATCTTCTATTGCCAGATTTAAAACCCAAAAAACTGTGGTCATTTTATCAATTAATATGTGTAGATTAAGAAACATTAGATTTTCATCGTTTAACTATATCAGCTGATGGTTTCATGCTAAATATCTCACTCTTTCACCGGAATTAAAATCATGTCACGTCGCCGATTGCGGCGATATCAGAATGCGACTTTAGAATTTAGACGAATTCCTTACCTTGGTTTTTTCCAGCTTCCTGTCGAGATCCTCCACCCGGGTTGGTCAAGCTCTGCGTGAGAAGACAAGGTTCTGTGATTGGCCGCGGATTGTGACTCCGTTGTTACGATGCGTGACGTGACGCAGTCTAGGGGGTCGATCATGTAACTTTTCCCTGGAAACGTGAAAAATGAAAAGTTTTACATGAACTTACAATCATGTACAATTTTGCGGGATCAACTGTAACTCTCTCAAACGTGAAAATGTAAAATTTTTCACATGAACTTTTTTGCCATGTACCTTGGTGGTGAAAAGGCAGAAATCTAGAGAATTAATAAATATGCTTTGGAAAGAGAAGATTAGGGCTGCATTAAGATTAAGTGTACGTAGTACATATACAATTGGTTATTAAAAGATGTATATAATACTGTACCAATAAAATAATTTTCATTAGCTATAAAACCTATGAAAACTACCTAAAAACTATGTTTCATGATTTCACTTTCCACGTATCCAAACTACATACATAATCGCTGTACATGAAAAGTTTCACGTGAAATGTCAAGGTATGAAAAATGAAAAGTAAAAAGTGAAAAATGAAAAATGAAAAATTTCACGTAAAGTTACATGATTGATCCTTAGATCTTAGCGTGCACTCGCGAACGCGGAATTTCCGAATATTTAGAGAAGGTTAAAAAAATGGTTAAAAAAAATTAACAATCTATTACACTCTAATAATGTTTAATGTTCAAAATTTAATGGTTGTTATACAGAGCTTAATGAAAACTAACTAGCACTAGTGACTTTCTATTAGTCTAATTTATTCTATCTAAGGTTGAATTTAAAGCTAGATAAAGACACTTGAAAGAATTTGAGTTGCTGATCGAAACTTAAAGCTAGATAGAAACACTAAAAAGGAATTTGAACTAGGCTAGGCTAGGTGTCGAATTTTAGGTTCGTTCAGTTCGATGCGAGTTCTAAGACTAACTGGGAGGGATGGTGTCCTCGCACGAAGAGGTGTGCTCGAAGTGGTGGAAGCTCGAAGTACCCTACCTTCGACACCTGGTAACATTGTAGAGCGCGCTGCTTGAGCATAAGTAGGGATTGAAAGGAAAAATTTCTTTCTTACCGACTGCGGACATGCCACGTGATCACAAAATGATGAAATTCACATGAGACTCGAAACTTCTCATTGATTTGTTTTAGGGGAAAACTTACGTGATCGATGTCCTGAGTAAGGTCCAATCGGACACATTGCCGATCGATTAAATAAAAAATTTTTGATAGATGGCTCATTAGAAAATTCTTAGGTATCGGCTGATGTAAGTGATGTGTCCGATTGAAAATGTGCGCATCTGGGACGCTCCCGTACAACATAATCTTGGGACCAGAACATACACTTCTGCCTAAGTGTCGATCCACAATAGGTGATTTAAGATTTAAGAAGTAAGAAATTGATCAATCATAATCAAATATGAATAAAATAATTGACTATGATTGGTCAATTTCTTACGGCTTAAAAATAAAATATCTATTGTATATATATATATACCGAACTAACGCATACTGCATTACGCATAAGAAAAAGAATCAATCAGAATCTTTCATTTTCATTGGGAAAGGAAGGGGGATAGAAATAAAAGTCTATGATTTATTTTCTTATGTGTTATCATAGATGTCTATACTAACATAGGGTGCGTCTAGAGATCCTATAAGAAGAGACTCGCCATAATATAACTAAATACATATCTGTCAAAATAGATTATTAAACATCTTTCGTTTCCTGGAGCACAGATGTGCAATCCATACCCCAGCCAATCAGAGTCTACTAACGTCACGTGACGAGTTGGCGAGTCTCTTCTTATAGAGTCTCTAGGTCCCCATGGACAAGGAAATAGCGGAACGGAATAGTAACGG